GAGAGAGAGAGAGAGAGAGAGAGAGAGAGAGAGAGAGAGAGAGAGAGAGAGAGAGAGAGAGAGAGAGAGAGAGAGAGAGAGAGAGGTGAGTTTGATCAAAGAAAGGGACTGAGAAGGGAAAGAGGGAGAAAACTTTGATCATACAAACAAGCTTAAGAGGGGGGGGACAACAACCGGCTACTCGCCGTGGACTCAACTTTCAAAAACCAAAAATCAAGGCGCATTGGCCTTATGCTCTCTGCTAATGGATCCTGGTCATACAACCACTCGTACACACACACCCTTCTTACTCAGGTATTGACGATCCCATCCGCCCACAACGATCGTCACCCCTCCAACTCAGCTTTTGCAACAACTTGCCTAGATCCCGCAGTTCGTCACGACCACCTAGTGCACAACCTTGCATACACTACAACCAGCTCGTCAGGACTTTCCGACTCGCTACTTGCACATCACCTAGCCACAACTTCCCTGAAGTTGGGGGATGGGTTGAGAGAGAGTTTTTTGGACGCGCTTGCGAGTTTTATAATTGCGAAGATAGAGATAGAAGATGGGAGGGAATGGGGCGGGGGTAGGAGGCGGTGAAGAGAGAGTTTGGGGTAATCACCCGGGGAAAGCCATATCGATTCCCGTAAGTCGTCTGGTGGCTCGAATAGCCCAGGAGGGGGGGATCAGTAGGGAGTTCCTATATGGGGATGAAGGTTGGAAGAAGGAGAGTGAGAAGAGTAGTGTAGAGCGAGACCAAGATTCATAAAAAAAAGAAGCAGGAGAGAAGTGTGAAGGGAAAGGGGATGGAAAACGGTTATGGGTGAAGGAGAGAAGGCGCAAAGAGGAGAAGGGTGAAGATTGCATGGGTCATAGCGGGAAGCAGGGAAAACTTGCATGCATGACACTGGTGCAAAAAAGAAAAAGGCACCAAAACAGTTAAATTTCATCCATCCTGGTTCTAAAACTACTTAAACATTGAAAACTTCAAAAGCAATATCAGCGCGCGGAATTAACCCCTTGAAAATCCTACGTCAGCAGCCGTAATTTCCGAAGTTTTCAACTTCCGAATAAAATTTATAGCACGCTCGTTAAAACACGCGTAATTCCTATGTAGGTGCATGGATTGCTGAAAAGAAATTGCAAAGAAGTCAAAAAGAAAAACAGTGTCTTAGTCGTGAGAGGTTCTGGTTGGCTTCTGCTTTCGTGCATTAAGGTGATAGCAAAAGGAGGGTTGCCCCAAAAACCCAAGAGAGAGAGAGCCGAAGCAAAAACTTTGGGCTGCAGAAGATCGTTTGAGTAGAGAAGCCGGTATGTGACATGTCTAGCTAAGGTAAACAACAACAAAGATTGTTTGCGCTCATCGTCTATGGGCGCATGGTCCAACATGCAAGTAAACAACACACATGTACTACGTTTAAAAAGAGAGATTGTATCTGGATCACGATGTATTTATCCAATCAGGGGGGAGTTTCGTGCAGACTACTCCCCCACTACTATGGACCTTGCTTATTCTTCAAGTACTAAGAGATGAGCATTGTGGACCCTCCCACATTGTGGATGTTTTTCTGTAACTTTTATCCTTAAGAATCCTAAAAACAATGGTGGT